TCACTATGTAGATCAGACTGGCCTTGAACTCACAGAGATCCACATGCCTCTGCCTCCCGAGTGCTGGGATTAAAGGTGTGCGCCACCACATGAGGCTTAAAATTAATTTAATTTCAATGGCAATAGTCTTGTGGCCAGTGGCTCTGCCACAACAACCAGTCAGATGAATGAGGCTTCTGGCCTGGCCCTTGCATGGCTTCAGATGAACTATTTTGCTGAGCCTCATCCTTCACCCTTCATCCCTCACCTTGTCCCTCATTCCCTCATCTCTCATCCTCACTCTTCATCTCTCACTTTCCCATCCCTCATTCCTCCTTCATCTGTTAAATGGGCACGACAGTTTCAAGATCACAGAGTGGGAAAAGTGAGGAATGTCTGGCATAGTGTCAGACACAGTCAGCATCTCTATCTTCATAATGAACCACAAACTCAATCAGATCAACACCTTGGTCAGAGCCCTCCAGTAGCTACCCAGTGCTTTCCATAGACAGCCCAAGCTCCATATCAAGTCTAAGATGCAAGAAGTCCATAGGAATCTAAACAAGGTAAGGAAAACGGAACTCACGCCTAGAAAAATCGTAATGAATTTGCTGTAAGTCAAAGGAAATGAAAATCTCAAAAATGGCAAGGGAAAAGACAGATTATATAATAGCACAATATTAGACTTAAGAGTCAGGAGACAATGGAATAATGTACTTAACATGCTCTATGGTGGGTTGAAAAGAAGTGACTGTCAGTGGGGAATTCAGTATTCAGTCAAAATATATTCCAAAAGAGGAGGGTAAAACAGACAGACAGACAGACAGACAGACACACACACACACAGACACACCTGAGAGACTCTGTCATCGGCAGAGCCACATTGAAGAAAACCCTTGAAGGATACTTTGTAGGCAGAAGAAAAATTATCCTGGATGGATTATCAGAGATGTAGGAAAGGCACAGCTTGTGTGGGTGTGAACACCAATTGTGTAAAAATGCCAAGGATGTCTTTGAGGTTTCAGTATGGAGGAACATTTTGGAAGTGGTGTTGGTGGCATATAAGTCTGTGTGTGGTGAGAGACGTTAAAGAGTCGATGTCTCGGGGCTGGAGAGATGGCTCGGCAGTTGAGAACACTGGTTGTTTCTGCAGAAGACCTGAGTTCGAATTCTAGTACCCACATGGCAGCTAACAACTGTTCGTAACCCCAAGGGATATGACAGCCTCTTCTGTCCTCCTCAGGCATTGCAAGACATAGGTGCACTTACCTACATACAGGCAATACATGCGTACACATAAAATTAAAAAAAAAAAAAGGGAGGCAGAAGCAGGCGGATCTCTGTGAGTTCAAGGCCAGCCTCGTCTACATACTGATTTCCAGGCTAGCCAGGGTTACATAGTGACCCCGTGTCAAAAAAAAAAAAAAAAAAAAAAGAGTCGATGTCTCAGAACATTATGTCACTGAGAAAGAGGGGGAGAAATCACCCATGAATTACTGGATTTCAGTAAAAGTGCATGATTAGGCTAGCCACTAAGAGAGAGAAAGTGTGTATTGGACTTTGCTAAGTCACAAAGATGTATTTTTGTCTTATCTTACCAAAACAGTCCAGTGAGAAAATTTCAAGATAATATAGAGAAAAAATTGAACAAATAAAAATTATCAATGAAGAGGCTAGATGTGGTAAAGTGCATACTCCTTTAATCCCAGCGCTCGGGAGGCAGAGACAAATGGATCTGTGTGAGTTTGAGGTCAGCCTGGTCTACATAGTGATACCCTGTCTCAGAAAAAAAAAAAATCAATGAAGATAAAACAGATGTAGCACACACACATAAAATGTTAAAAGGCAAAGACTGGATTTCTACAAATATTATGTGCTGCTAAGAGATATGAATAAACTTAAAATGGACAGGAAAAGTCTGTAAAAATAAGTTATAAAACAACAGTCAAAAGAAAGCTAGCCTATCTGATGGTGCTAAGTCAGTGACAAAGTGAACTTTAATAAAAAACCATGACCAGAGATGAAGAGAGTCAGATTGAAGTATTAAATTAACTATTAAATTGAAGTATTAAAATAATAAATTTATATGTACCTATGAACATAGCTTCAAAATATATAAAGCCCCCCAAATTTGGCAATGCTAAAAAAGAAGTCCACAATCTCAATGGGATTTTTATAAAGCCCATAGTTTTTGGTGACAGACAGACAAGAAGATCAACAGGAGACTCTAAGTTTTGAGCATCACTGGTAGTCTAGTTTAATTTCTGTTGCTGGGACAAATAACCCTGGTAAAGAGTAATGCAGGGGAGAAAGGGGTTACTTTGACTTCCAAGTCCAGGTTATAGTTCCCCACAGAGGGGAAGTCATTCGGGAACTCAAACAGCTCGTCACAGCAAAGGCAAATGAATTCCCCAATGCTGCCTGTTTGCTTACTGCTAGTACTCTTAAAGACTAAAAAATTATGTGTGTGTATTGGAGGGGTATGTGCACATGAATACAGTGCTCCTAGACCTGGAGTTACAAGTGGTTGTGAGCCAGCTCATGTGGTTGCTGGGAATCAAACTCAGGACTCTGCAAGAGCAGTATGTGCTCTTGATGGTTGGGTCATCATTCAGTTCAGGGTCTAGCCTAGGGAAGGTGCCACCCACAGTGGGCTGGGTCTTCCCACATCAATGAACAATCAAGACTGGCCATGCCCACAGGCCAGTCTGATCTAGACAAGTCCTCAGTTGAGGTTCTACTCTCAGGTGATCTTAGGTTGTGGTAAATTGATAGCTAAAAACCAAGCACAGCAATTGTCAAACTTGACCTAAAGGACACACACGGAGTACCGCCTCCTCAGGCTCCAGAGTGCATGTTCTCCCCATGTGCACATGTGAAACCAGCCTTGACCACATGCAGATCACAGAGCAAATCTCAATCGATACCAAAGGATTGAAATCACACAGCATTTTCCCTGTCCACAGTGTAATTAAGCTAGAAACCAATAATCACAAGACAACCAAGGAATCCACATGTGTTTAGATATTAGGAAATAACTTCAGAATACCTCATGAGTCAAATAAGAACTCACCATGGGAACTGGAAAAGAGCATTCTGAAAAATGTTGAAAATACATTATAAACTTGTGGGATGCAGCTAAAGGCTTACTTAGAAGACAATTTTTGGCCCAGCGAATAGTTTGATTCTGTTATCATGACTACAGCCATTTTACTGAAAAAAAAAAGATAGCTGAGCAAATTAATTTTCATTGGGAAGATATTTTACAGAGTAAAATTCATGGAGTCAGTGGCTTAGAAGGTTTCCAAATGTTTCCATTTTTGTTTTGAAATTATTTTTATCTGAATCACTTCTTTCCTGAGTAAATTTTACAAGTAATATGAATGATCTCTAAGTGTTTATGGTTGTTATCAATTAAAATATTTATTTTATTTTTATCCCTCTCTCTGCCATATGTTTTAGTTTTAGTTTGTGTATCCGTGTGTTGAGGGGATATATGCATGTATGTGAACATGTGAGTGTGGCGGTCAGAGGTCAACATTGGGAATCATTTTATTTTTTGCCAATTACATTTCATTTTTTTGTTACTTGAGAATTCCATACACGCATATGTATTTTTTAAAAATCCAATCCCCATTTCATCCATTTCCTCCCCTCTCCCCCTCACTGGTTTTCTTTTTTAAAAAAATATTTTTTAAAATTATTTTTATTTTATATGTATGAGTGTATTGCCTGCATGTATGTTGTGCAATGCCTTGGTCAGAAGAGGGCTTCAGATTCCCCTGGAACTGCAGTTAAGGATGGTTCATAGCTACCATGTGGGTGTTGGGAATCAAACCACTGAACCATCTCTCCACCCCCTCACCAGTTTTCTTAATTAAAAAAAAAATTATATGTAAATTCACACGTACTTGCAGTGCCCAGTGATGCCAGAAGAGGGAGTCAGATCCCCTGGAAGTCAGATCCAGGGGAATTGGAGTTAAGGACGATTGTTACCATGTGGGTGCTGGGAACCAAACCCAGGTCCTCTGCAGGAGCAGCCAGTGCTCTTAAGTGCTGAGCCATCTCTCCAGCCCCTTTGTGCCCCTTATTTATTTATTTATTTATTTATTTATTTATTTATTTATTTATTATTATTATTACTATTATGTGTGTGTTTGTCTGTTTTGAGACAGGGTCTCTCACTGAACCTGGAGCTCATCCATTCTGCTAGATTGGCTGGTTAACACTGCCTATCTCGGACCTCCTCAGTGCCAGAGTACAGACATGCACCATCACACACGGCGCTTTTACAAGGGTGCTGGGAATCCGAACACAGATCCTCATGCTCTCTGCAGGCACTTGACCCACTGAGATATCTCCCCAGCACTGAATTTTATCTTACTTGATTTTAGTTGATTTAAAGTTTAAAGCAGGTTATCACCCACTGGAGTGGGTGGCACAGGTCTAGAATGTGCAATAACTCCCCCCGCCCCCATAGGAAAGCAACATGGGGCCCACTGGCATCTGGAGGAGGGGAAGGCTCAGAGTAACTTCTAGACCTCTTTGTAAGGAGGGGCAGATGCCAGCATCGGCCACAAGGGGGCGCTGTGGGGGAGAGCACCTGATCTCCTGGGGTCACTGGGGAAGTTTCTTGGCCCCACACACCTTGCTCTTCTCTCGCAGAGTCCTGGAGATGGTGTTCTGGTCACAACAGCTCTTCTTCAGCTCCTCTCTGAGTTTCTTCACTTCTTTCTCCATGTCTTGTATTTGCTGGAAAAGTTTCAACCACGGAGAGCTCAACTTCCTCTCTGGGTGGGGGGAAGGGGAAGGCCCTAGGGACCCCCTTTGTTCCTTGGGCTCACTGGGGTGGGGACCCAGACCCATGCCTGCTTGTTTAGTTCTGAAGGCAAAGTAGACTTTAATTTTCTTTTTCTGATTAATATATTGAAAGTGCTGGATTAAGGCTAAGAATTAAAAAAAAATCAGTACAAGGGGCCTGAACATGATTAAGATGTATGAAATGCACAAAACTTAAAAAAATATATATATATATTGAAAAATATCAGTACAGGGGCTGGGAAGATGGCTCAGTGTGCGGTGCAAGCGTGAAGACCAGAGGTTGGACCCCCAGAACACAAATAGAAGTCTGGTGGGTGTGGTGTCTAGTCTGTAATTCCAGCCTTGGAAGGTGGAGCCAGGGGATCCCCGAGCAAGCTGGAGTCTAGTCTTCTGGGGAATTCTGGGTTTGACTGAGAGATCCTGCCTCAGTGAGTGAGGTGGAAAGGAGAGCGATGGATGATGATTCCTGATATCACCTCCGGCCTCCACGTGCATTTGAACACGTGTATGTGCACCCACATACGTGTGCCTCCACTGCACACACATACATGCATACCACACACATGAGAAGAATGGAAAAAAACAAATAAATAAAGGAATAAATAAAACCCAGCACAAGACCTGGATTAAATGCTGCAAGATACCTGCCAGGCAGTAGAACCTCTTCTTTATGGGTAAAAATTTAGGTCAACTGAAATAAGGGATATTTGCAGAACAGAACAATGAAAATTCTCTTCTGTTTGAGGCAAACAGAAAATATGTCCTCAACACACAGAACAGTGTGTCCCTCCCTGTGCCTCCCAGTGAGTGGAAGCTGGTGGTGGGCAAAGGCCTTAGGTGGTAAAAGCATTAAGCATTGAAATAAAGGTCATATTTTCATTAGAGTTTTAAAATTATTTATTTATTTTATGTGTATGAGTGCACCTGTGTGTGCAATGCCCGTGGAGTCCAAAAGAGGGCATCAGATCCCCTGGAACTGGAGTTATGGATGGTTGTTAGCCACCATGTGGGTGCTGGGAATCAAATCTGGGTCCTCCGGAAGAGCGGCCAAGTGCTCTTAACTGCAGAGCCATCTCTCCAACACCTCATTGCAGTTTTTAAAAAGATTTATTTTTTAATGATATGTGCGTCTGTGTGGGGTATGTGCACATGTGTGCAGGTGCCCACAGAGCCCTGAAGAGGGCATCAGATCCCCTGGAGTTGCAGGTGGTTGTGAGCCACATGATGTGGTTGCTGGGAACTAGGGTCCTTTGCAAAAGCAGTGTTTGCTCCTAACTGCCGAGCCATCGCTCCGGGTTCTTTTGCACTCATTTTTATGGCTGCCTTCTATCTAAAGCAAAAGATAACTCTTCTCTTTAATTTTATTGATTGTTATATAATTGCCATAGTTAAATAAAAATACTTAACGGCAGTTTGCGTTTACAATGTCATCTGTGGCTGTGTCCACACTTAGGATAGTGGAACATGAGTTTGGGAAAATCACATCCAGGCAGGGAACCAGAATGAACTATTTATAGCAGCCTGTGTGGCCAACTGGCCAACTTCCACCGCTGTCCCTGTCCCTACCCCAGGGGAAACCCTTGAGAAACGCAGAGCCAACTGGCCAGAGAATGCTGGGAGTTTTCTGTGGCTTCTTTACCCATCTCCTTGATGGGGCTGGAAGTTGCAAGCAGAGAACTGTGAGATTATATTAAACAATAGAGAGCCCAAAAAGTCGTGCTTTGGGAAGGGTCAAGGGTCCCAACTTCAAGGTCAAAGTCTAGCTTTCCTGTGTATGCTTACAAATGAAGAAGTTTGACTCACACTTTTGTAGAGTTTCAACTCTTTCTCCAGGGCCTCCCTGTGCTCCTGTTTCATTTCTTCCTTTCTTAACTCTTCTTTCAGCACCGAACACTGAGGGGAGAGAGGACAGCAAAGAAAGGCCAAAGCTGGCCAAGTGGGGGAACTGGGGGGTTCCCCATCTGCCCTTAGAGCACTTTGTGTTGTGCCTTCCCAACTGTACCCACATCCCAGCAGGTGAGATAACTGGTGTCTGATGGGCACACAGATGCTGCACAGGGGCTCCAAGTTCTCCCCTCTCTCAAGTTCTGAGGAATAATGAATCTAACCTCCCTTTCAGAAGCTAGCAAGCCAAACCATGAGAAAAATCCAGCCTTAGAGAACTGGATGCGGGACACCGCTGTGAACCTGGATTGCTCTAAGGCTGCGTCCTGTTACATCTCAAAACATGATCCCCCAGCAGTCAGGGGGTCAGGGAAATGGAGCAGCCTTTCTGGCGGTGACTAGGCAGGCAGCAGGAGAATGAAGAGGTAGGTGTCCTCTGCTGCACCCCGAGATTCTGCTTAGGAACTGAGTTTATCCTGTTTCCCAGCACTGAGCTCAGCCAGCTCACAATGTCTTGTAACTTCAGCTCCAGGGAATCTGATGCCCTCCTCTGGCCTTTGTGGTATATGAGTGTGTGCACACATGTGGAGGCAAGAGGTGGAAGTCAAGTGCCCTCTTCTGTTTTCCACGTTATGTTTGGGGGCTGAACCTGGGGCTCACCATTGCGAGCTTCTGAGATTCGCCTGTCTCTGTCTCCAGCACTAGAGTTACAGGCTCGCACTGCATGTTGGCTTATGTTAAGTGAGTTCTGGGTATCTGAACTCAGGTCTTTGTAGCCTTGTGCAGCAAGCATTTGCCCCCCCCCCGACCATCTCTCCACCCCCCAGGGTCTGGATCCTTAAGTCAGCACTAAAGGCAAAATTTTAACAGTTTAAAAGTTAAAAGTTAACAGTTTTAAAGTTAAAAGTTAAACGTAGGCTGGGCATGGTGGCACACACCTTTAATCCCAGCACTTGGGAGGCAGAGGCAGGCAGATCTCTGTGAGTTCAAGGCCAGCCTGGTCTACATAGTGAGTTCCAGGACAGCTGGGGCTACAGGGAGACCCTGTCTCAAAAAGATCCCCCCCCCCAAAAAAAGTTAAAAGTAGTCAAAAGTTTCAAAGTTCTTAATTTGCCCACTGGGCTCACTCCACAGAGAGACATCATTAGAGGAAAGTCTGAGGGAAGGGTGAGTTGGAGGATGTCCCCTGCCCCAGGACTCTGCTGATGGAGATGGAGGTGAAGCCTGATATGGTCCTGCTTTTCCCCAGAGGGCTTATAGTCTGCTTTCACATCAAGCCTTGTCATGGACATGCATGTGTCTGCTGCTGTGCTAAACTAATTTGTATATGTGTGTACATGTTTGTGTGTGTGCACATGTATATACATGTTCGTGTGTGTGCATGTGGAGGTTAGAGGTTAATGTCAGGTGTCATCCTCAATTGCTCTCTCTCTTTCCTTTTACAAAAATATTTAATTTATTTTTATTTTATGTGTATGAGTGTATTGCCTGCATGTAGGTAGGTGTACCATGCTGTGCAGTGTCCACAGAGGTCAGAAGCAGGTGTCAGATCCCCTGGAACTGGAGTTACAGATAGTTGT